TTAGTTTTAGGGTAAATAATTGTACATATTAATTACCTAATTTGCATAATTAATTTTCAGCTTTTCTACTGATATCTAAAGTACTAATCATCACATTTCAATGAATCTAGAATTATGCAGACCCAATTAGTTTCCGGTAAATATTTGTGCATATTAATCACCTAATTTGCATAATTAACCAACTTTCACACTGATATCTCAGGTACTATACATCACATATCAATGAATGTACATGGATGCTGTAGGACAATAGACAGACCTGAATAATTGTGGGTTAAAATCTGTACATATTAATTACCTAATTTGCATAATTAACCAATTTTAAGCTTTCACACTGATATCTAAAGTACTAATTATTCCATTTCAATGAAACTTAGTACAAAGATGCTCTAGGACAATGTACAAACCTAATTAGTTTGGGGTAAAAATCTGTTCATATTAATTCCCTAATAAGCATAAAAATTCATAATTTTTTGGTTCTAATCACATTTCAATTAAACTTGGAGACATAGATTTTCTGTTACATTGCGCAGACCTCATTAGTTTTACACTCAAATCTGGTCATATTAATTTTCTGATTTGCATAATTAGTTTTCAGCTAAGTAATTTCGAATTATATTTAATGTGTCTCCAATACTCTCAGCACATGGGAGTTCTTTCTAAGCTTTCTTTGATTGTTGATTGGTGTTTGTAGGTGTGTTGAATCCATTAGACACCCCGCATCATATGAGGATAGATGACGAGTGTGAATTCAGAGAAGGTGTGGTATTGGATAGACCGGTCAAAGGAGGAAAAGGATCATTTGTGAATGCAGGATTAAGAAAAGTAAGTCTGCCTGTTTTGTAAGTTAGTCTCTTCTGGTTTGACCAGGTTGTGTTGAATTCCAGCACTGATAATAACCTTCTTGCACATGGTCTTTATGACCAATGAGAATGCACTGTTTCAATAATCGGTAGTGACATCCAAGATGATAAACCAATCAAGTGCATATACCCAGAACTTTCACTAAATGTTACCGCCGTTAGCGTGAATAAGATTCCATTTCCCTTTTGCTACAAATAGCATTTGCAAGACCTTCGAACTGTACAGGTTAGCCAATCAAAATTCTCCAGTGAACGCACATATTACAAACAACACTATAAATTTGTGGTCTGTTTTTGAAGTACCACCATATCAGCCTCAAGTTGAATAATCGAACAGTGTTAGCTCAGCGAAAAATCTAAAGGCGAAGCAAAGTGCACAATATAAGAATCACCAGCACAATCAATTTACTATTGAAATACAAAATGGTCTTGCATAAACACAAAAGTAGGCACCAATGTTGCTTACATTAGTCACATGCAAATTCAGGGGTAATGATTGTTACAATAATCTCGACATCGATCGTGTTTATTACTTGCAGGAAATAAGGATTGATAGACAGTTGAGAGATGGATTAAGAGTAACTGTCAGGTTGGATAACAAACAGACAGATGAAGGTGAGTCAGGTGACATTTCTAGGTCTTGCTGGTTAACACAGTAAGTCGTATATTTACTGATAGTTAGTGTCTATCTGGTTAACACAGATAGTCATATATTAACAGGTAATTAGTACCTAGCTGGTTAATATAGTTAGATGTATATTAACTGACCTAGCTGGTTAATACATATTGGAGATTTTACAAAAGTTTGATGTTTGACAAAAGTCTGGGGCTTGTAGTTGAGTTTATGAAGATTTGTTGCAACCCCAATTATGGCCGCTGCATGGCCATACGCCTGTGTTTGTAAATCTGAATATTATGCACATTTTAAAATGTACATTTGTGTGATGTTATTTGTTATGGCTCCATGCTCGTTACTACTATATTGTAGATTGGTTGCTAGGATACCAATAAACAGCATCACAATATCAATGTCATTTACTTCATGCTTCAAATTTTCTGACAACAGATAGAAGATATTATACTGGTAAAGTTGTTTCTCCAAGATGTCCATGTACTGATAGAGGGCTATACTGGGGATACACAGTAAGACTGGCGTCTAGTTTATCAAAAGTCTTTACAGAGTCTTCGTACAAAAATGGTTATGATTTGACAATAGGGACATCTGATAGTGGGGATGACATTGATCATGCAACATTTTCCAAATTTAAGTAAGTCAGATACATTCACTTGTTTTGAAGGTAATATTGATGTGGACAGCATTGTTTTAAGGTAGCGAGATAGTTTTTTGGCATGAAAAATGTAAACATCTATAATTGGAGTAAATTTTACAAGAACCTATACAATCTATATATGTTTGGAAAGCCCTTGACTTGTACTTTTCTATTATTAATATTTTGTGAACATTGTGTTTGTTTTAGCGTCACGTGATTCTGAAAATCGGCGCGGCTGATAATTAACTAACGTGAATACATTTTTAAATGTCAGCTCTACGGTCATGCATGC